TATTAGCCAAGATCATGGGACTGCTCTTAAATTAGCTGCAGAATTGTAACTCTCCGAAAAAGAAAAAAAAAGATTTTGACAGACCGGAGAGCTACAGTGCCATCCATTGAAAAAACTGTATATTTATTGCGCACGAACAGTTAAGTTTAGTTCTGGATTAATTCTTTCTAATTCTTACCTCAACAATTTGACCAAACCAAACAAACCCCCATCACCAAAAAATTAATTTTTTCAACTCGAAAATACTATTTTTGTTGTTAGGTTTTAAACTTCTTTCAGTACCATTTATTACTAAAACTCAAACACTACCCTTATATTTCTGAAACATTTTAATCAAAACGCCCCCTACTCTCTTTCGAATGTGTACAAGATATTTGGTCCCAAGAAACAAACAAACACTCTTTATATTCGATGTTACCATCACCAGACACTAGATTGTCATTTTTCTTCCTCTGATTAAAACAAGTATTTGCTATTCTCTTTGGGTATGAATGTTTATTTTCGGACACAATAATTATTTTTTATAGAAATCCATGCTTATCTATTTTATCAAATGTATCTATCTTTATATCTTAATCATCAAGTTTTGTTATTCCATAATTTTAAATTTCATTTCAAGTAGTATCTATATAGAAGTAAGTATGTCTGAATACTTTACATTTTGTTTGTTTTACGTTCGATAATTTTTCAATCATATTGAAACACTTAGCTACATGTAAGTACAAATTTTTACCTATACACGGCACTCAAAACCATTGAGTAGTGAGGGATCGTTTTGTGCAAGCACATACTGCGACATGGGATTTCAGTTTATATGTTCTCATCAAAAGAGTTTATCTCCAAATGCTTCCCACAGGATTCGAACCTGCGACGTAAGGATCAATTAACACCTTACGCTGAATCTCGAGCAAACTATTTTAACAACTGCGCCACGCGAGTGAGACTTAAAGTTTGTGATTTTGATTTGATTCAAATGTAATTAAAAATCAGACATAGTTTACCGAGCTACTACAAGAAAAAAAATACTTGTAATCATGAGGAACGATCTTTCTCACAGGTCGATCATTGGGATTATCATACCATTGTGTCCGTGTATACGCATGTATTCAATAATCTTAACTGTTTTAATTATATGATAAAATCAAATGATACATTTTATAACGTAATACTGCAAGGTAATACACACACATTTTTCAAGTTCAGATTTGGTGTTGTACACGTGACCAACTGAATGCTGATAAATTCATGAAATTAAGGATAAAAAATTAATGTCATTTGAAATTGTGTGATCGAATATCAACAAACTTTAATGCTATTATTTTTTCCCTTTACCAAGGTAAAAAAAAATGAGTTGCATGTATCTGGTCTGACAAAAATTTTCCAGTCTAACAGATCATTTTACTTGTCAGAGCAAATAAATATTTTCCGCAGTGTTTTTTTTTTTTTAAAGAAACGTTGTTCTGTCTCTTTATTGCTGAAACAAATTGAAAGAAGTTGGGTTAAACCTTAGCGTTCCTTTCCTTACATCTTTGTTTACGTCTCTATATTTCGACAATCGGGTCATTGTCAAACCAGTTAGACCAGTTGTTGCTCCTTGCATGACCTAGCATTTTTTGTAATGGAGCGTAGTGGAGTCAGCCGAATGATAAATGACGGAAAAACTGGGACTTTTTTTTCATACGGAAATCAAAATTTATGTGTCATTTCTCAAGAAAGATGACAAATATATGCTATTCAAATTAAGTTAAATAAAATTCTATTTCATTTACTTTCAAATCATTTATGAAAATTAGATTAATTCAGAAAAATGAGATGGACTATTTTTATTGCGGAAGTTTCTTCGAGTTTATATAGACTGATACGAGTTTGTATTGAATATCACAGGGGAGTAAATTGGGCGACACAGAAACACCACGACGGCCTCTATATAATTCATTGTAAAATTACTGCGCTAGAAACCGCGTGACAGCCTAGGGAGTCTGAACATAGTTCAACTCCCAAAAAACTGTTCTCTCACGCTGTCCACTTTTCTTTTAAGGAGGCTGGGAGTCAACAAATTAAGCATTAGATATAATTATATTTATTTAAATTTTTTAGATATGATATCTAAAGCTGTCAACTATTATTTGGCAAAAAAACTTTCATACATGTTAGTTTTAAAATAATCATTTTTGTATATCTTTATATGGAGCTCTTCTTCGAAAGGAGACCAAATCAGTCTAAAAATGGTCACAACACTCAGCCCTCCTAAGTTTCCTTCATGCTATACTTTTGGTCAGATAAAGACACATTGCTTTTTGGGGAAACATTTTTCATTAAAACAATAGCAATTGTTTTAATATAATGAAGACAATACATAAGAATTTGAATTCCAGGGAGATCTACGTTCTTTTTCAGAAATTACTGTGTGATCAATTCCCGAAATAAATAACCTCTGGAGAATGGTAAGACTTGATGAAAAAGTGCTAATCTAGAAATGGGTTTTCTGCAAGAAGTGAGATCCCCGGGGAAGTTTGATTATATAGCTGTTACAGACAATATATATACGTTTGACACACAATTAATCAACCCTGATCTATAAATTGTTGTAATTTGGCACTTTACTTGGAGAAAATGTATAACTTTCGGAAATGATTTAAACAAACCTGAATATAATATACATACTAACACAATCTTTATATCTCTTCCAAGTTCTGCTGGTCTTAAAAAAGAGCAGATCTTGGGTTAAGTGACCAGTATCTTTCAATCACTTGTTTCCCTTTGTAATGAATCAGGGTTATTCCAATGAATCAGTATAACAAGGGATGTTAGGGTTTTTGACTTGGAATGACCTGTCTCCCCTACCATGAAATAGACCAGTCCTATGCTATATATATAGCAGGTGTTGACAGATTCAGTCATTCTATCTCAGAATCCTTACAGTGAATGTTCACTGTGGGAGACCGATCTAAGAAGTGGCCAGGTGAGGGTGATAAGGTGACGACGCTGAATAAGCTGAGTCACAATAAGGTTACTTTAGGGCTGAATAAGCCTTATTGTATAGGTTGCGTCAACTGGTTAACCTCAGTAGCTTTGGCATTAGAAATAAAGGCTGAATAAGTCTGTACCCTAGTGCCAAAGTGAACTGGAGACGCCAGTTGACTAGAGACCTTTGGTTTAGTAACCTGGACCAGTTGTCCGGGACATTGGTTAGGGGTGAGACAAGTGGTCCGGAGTCAAATTGTCCCTTGATTTTGTTCTGCGAATCGTAGTAAATATATTGATTAGGTAAATTGTTGAAATAATTATCGTAAATATATTGATTAAGTTTGTGTCCTAGTGGACAAGATACAGATCATTTGTATAAATTATTACACTGCAGGAATCCCGGGTGTAACCGGGTACGTGCCCTATTGAATATATAGACTGCTCGGCTGGGCACACGTTACACCTTTTTAAAGTTGCTCTTCTTTTCAATTAACTTGAATCAACCAAGGGTGCTTTATGGAAAGTTTGTTTAAAATCTAGAATAGCTAGCAAATAAAAATTTATTTTTCAAGAAATTCATGTATTTGTACAATTCTCAGTGAACCTTGGACTTTCAGTAAGGCGAGGCATTTCTCGGTGCTACGTAGTTAGCGTCTGTCAAATTGTGAATACATTCTCATTGGTTAAGAAATTAATAACATCAAGAACTTTATATTGTTGCTGACAACGATGAGACGGCCTAAGCCCAACCTCTTTGCCGTAAGAGACACAGATATATGTTGTTTTTTTCTACACCCATTGGTTTTATCCCATGTATAGTTCAACAGTGAAAGCTGTGTAATTTTCAGACGCTAACCATGTAACGTCAAGAATGCCACGCCTTACTGAAAGTCCTCGGGTAACAGAGAATAGTACGAACAGCAAAAGCATTAGGAAATAAATATAATTTGTGTGGTCAGCTTTCCTGTTTTTCCATGCTGAGTGACGTTTTTCATACTAATTGTTAGTTCATTATTTTATACACTCAATTGATGACGGATTTTTTAATTCCTTATCATGACAAGGAGCACATGGCGGGTGTGACTGGTCAGCAGGGGATGCTCACGCCTCCATGGCACCTGATCCCACTCTGATGTTTTGGAGGTCCGTGATTGCTCTGCTCCTATTTTGTATTGTTTAATGGACTTTTGATCTTGAATACTGTTCGTTATCTCCATATGTTTCATGCTATAGCACTTGAATTATTTACAGGAATTTTTTTTTTAAAAATCCAAGTGGATCACCCCTGTCAGAGGGGTGGGGGGGCTCTCATTTACAAATTCTATGTGTTCATTAATTCAGATTAAGAATGACTTTTATTCCCCCATCCTCTCCAAAATAAGGACCCCTCCCCAGTTAGTTGTAGGGAATAGTCAAATGTAGAGGAGGAAAGTAGCTGATCAACCCTTTATGATGATTAAGATAAAAGTAGAGGAGTGATGTCCAGACAAATTGTAACTGCTTAGACATGCACAGAGCACAGACTTCTCATATAAATATTTACTCTTAAACCATGAACATCAGCATTGATGAAAGGGAGATAATTCAAATTATACGTCATCCCAGTTAACAGTTCTAATTTTGCATACCATTCTTTGTCATCCTGTATTTTCAATTTCTTACAGCATATGACATAAGATTTACAAACCCAAGTCTTTATATGGATATATTTTAATAGACAGTAGTCATTTATGCATTTTAGCTTTCTGGGTGAACAGATACCAGCCAAAGGGAGAGTTGATCCATGTCTCTGTTTTTTTTCATTTTACACAAAAAAATTGTGTTGTTTACAAACATGCATATAAAAACGGAGGGTGGACAACGACATTCGACAATTTTCACATTAAGTCTTTTGTTTTTGATTGGACCATAAAATTCACAAAATAAAGTCCCCTCTCACCAATAAATGCTATGTACGACATCTGTGATGTACCACATCTGTGTGTCAGTTTTGAAATTGGTTTTTAAAAAAGATGGCTGTAAAAATACACAAGTTTTAATACACATGATTTATATAATCACAAATTACTAAAAATCTGTGAAGTGAAATAAAGACGCAAAGCGTAAACATCTAGCACTTTTTAAGGCCATATAAAATTGAAATCCTGGTTCTCAGGCCCGCGCGCATCCGTTTTGAGGTAGCCGCATTGCCGATTTTATTGTATTTTTAATAAAATAAACAGTTGGTATTGCGGAGACCAATCCGGAAAAAAAAAATTCCGACCTCATTTGTTTCGTAGTTTAGTATTCAAATATCACTTCCGGTAGCCATTTGCAATGAGATTTTGGCTACTTCGTTTGAAAATACATTCGAGGACATTACCTACGATGTTTACACGCTGTTAAGCAATAGATAAAGCAGAAATTTTGACCAGAAATGGAAAGTATATCTGTGATTAAAAAATTATCTTTATGTTAAAGAAAATTCGAAAATTAAAATAAAAAAAAATACCTCCCTCATCTACTTTATTGCCAATAAAATGATAAATAAAATGCTGCCCTCTCGCATCTGTTTTGGAGAAAATTGGCCCGAGAACCAGAGAATTAAATTTAGATAGCCTAATACATTGTAATTACATCTGATAATTATCCATCATTAACTTTAATTCTTCTCTAGCTTTCTTGACATTGTTCTGATTGTCCCCCACGATGAGACATCTGGTCGGACACACAGCATTGGGGTCTTTACGTTTCACTTCTCTCAGGTTTAAATGGAAAGTCACCCCAGGGTTACCTCTCTTTACATTTTTTAAAACTACACTTCGCAGGTAAAACCAAAAGTTTTTACCAGGATGAGATGGAATCTCAATATCTTCTTTGTGTTGGTCCTGAAATGCCTTGAGCTTCTCTTGTACGCTGGTGACTATTTCTTTTTTCACTTTCTCCGCGGTTTCCTTGGTATCGGCAAAAATCTTGAAAACTGCGTCTTCTTCATCTCCTCTTAACATTCTTACATGAACGTTCTCTTTCCTGAATTTCTCAAGGATGTCTGGTAAAAATTGGGTTGGGTCTAATTCTTTTGGAATCTCCTCTGGGATAGGTAACGATGTAGTGGCTCCCATTTGTAGCGTCTTTAGCGTTTTAGCAAGATATTCTTCCACTGATTTTGCAGTTTCCTCCAGTTTTGTTTGGTCACTGGAATAAAGCATGACACCTTGTGGTTTTGTATTAGATAAAAGAGTAAAGTTACAATCATTTTTATTGGCCAAGTCTTTTAGTTCATCAATGCTGATGGCATTCATAACTACAGTGGAAGGAATCTCTTTCTCAACATAGGGACACTGTACACGTTTCTGAAATTTCATTGAATCCATTTGCTTTTTCTTTCCATCAATTAAACCTGACAGCTTCTCTTTCATACTTTCTACCACTTGTTTGCTCTTAGCGTATAGCTGAATATTCGGATCTTTCCCTTTCCTGTTGATGACGAATCCAAACTTATGCTCCAAGCTTAATCTCGCCAGGCTATTCTGTAGGTAGCGGATCTCTTTATTTCTGGTAAATGGCAGTGGCACGCTCACACTCTCTTTGCCGTATTTTTCCTGTACTTGACTCTTCTCCGCTAACTCAGCATCTAAATACGCTGATATATGGAAGTGTTTGAAAGGAATTGTGGTCAAACGATGAGTCATAAGATCTTTTTCCTTGAGTATTCCATTCCCAAAAGTCCTAGTATTCAATGCCCATGATGTGAATCCATTTGTAGTACTTGCACAGCAGCTGTAAAAATAAAATATTTTTAAAAATTATAATAGAGACACGTTTTTTGTATTATCTAATGAAGATCAGATCCTTGTAAATCACAAAATTCTGTTATCAAGGTAATATAACCATCTCAAAAAATAGCATTGATAATTTAGACTGCATTTTGCCAATTACTTCTAGAAGTCTAAAGTTACACAACAGAAAAAGGGGGGACGACAATTATCTCTTTTATACAAAAAAACATTTTGTTTGATGTTGAATTCCAAAAGCATTTCTTGGCAATCTTCGCTCATAATGGATTGATTTGAAAACTGCTTTCCAACATTAATCAATAAATTTAATCTGAAATTAAACAATAAGTGAATAACATGTGACATTCGTTAAATATACAACCTGGCTGTTGTTGCACATACATGTACGTATTATTTTTTATTTGAATATACTAGATTAAATCGGTTTTGCATTTCATAAAATATTTACCAATTTATGCCTTTTTCTGAATATAGCCTGGCATTTGGAGATAACACGTGCCGAAAAAGGCCTCTTCTGAGGAGATACGCCATTTTGTTTTTTGGAGGTGAAAAGGTTTTAACTAACTCGTACATCATAGGATTCGTGGTAGAAAGTTAAAATCATTTTAGAAATATTGCCCTGTCGGTCTGTCTGTTTGTTTATCTGTTTCTCCGCTAAAACTTTAACATTGCCCATAACTTTTGATTAAATGGAGCTATGACTCTCATATTTCAAAGGTCAATTTTTTGTGCGTTGGGCCTTTCTATGGGTACCAACCACAAGCACTTGTTTCGGAAATTATAAATTTTCTAATTATTGTATAATAATCTATCTTTACCGTCACATTTTGTCTTTCTAAACACTGTTCAAACAATTCCAAGTTTATGTGAGTTTTCCAAAAGTTAAACTTCGAGATTATTAATTTCGGGGAAAATCACCCCTTTCCAGCGTCTTTTTATGCCCTCTCTAGAGAATTTGAATCTCTGAAAATTGACAAAATAAATTTGTCAATTGTGTCCCACCACATTTGTGAAAATTGGATGGCAGATTTTCATTTGTCTCCGTTGGATTCACTGTATAAATACGATATCGTATTTTGAAGTTGCGGAACGTTTTCATTCCATTGCTTACGGAAACATTGACAATTAATTCGAAAAAATTTAGAGACCCCTCCTCCTCGATAAATTTGTAACTAACAATATCCAATTAAATTGTTATTTAAACAGCATCATATGGCCCGTTAAGCTCATGAAATGATGCATTGTTCACTCATTTTTAAGTTATGTTTCTACAGGGTATAATTTTTCGTCCAAAATGATTAATTGCTTTATTTAGTAGTGGTACAGTTGTAGTAAATGTTACTGTCAAAAAACAGCTTGAAAAAAGTGTCAAGTGGAGATTTTTCTTAAAAAAAAAAAGAATCAGTCTAAAGAATTTCTTGAATTTAACAAATGAAAAACATGTACAAGAAAGTAAAATTCATTTTATTAATTGATAAGGTCTTATAATATTCTGATGACTAATCAATTCTATTCTAGCATCATTTCGACAAAAGTTGCGCGTTTATTCGCGAAAAAAATATTTTTTTTAATCTAGGAAAATGAGCACAATGGGCTTTCGTACATTTGAGTTTGACCCACACATGAAAATAAAGAATTTGACTCGAACCCCACCCACTCCCCCCCGAATCAAATGCTTGTCCCCTAAAAATATTATCTCTTCACCTTGCATGGAATTTGACTTACATTTGAGAAACGTGTTTCAAAAAATACATAGGCCTAAAACACATATTGTTTTAAACATAGGCGTCGGAACCGGGGGGCTGGAGGTGGGGTCGGGGTGGGGTGGGGGTTAGCCCCCTCCCCCACTTTTTTTGCAAATATGTATATAATAAAGGAATTGAAAATTGGGGTTTACCTTTAAATAATTTTTTTTGTTGGTTTAGCCCCCCTCCCCCCACTTTCAATTAGCCCCCCCCCCCCAACTTTCAATTTGCTTCCGCCGCCTATGTTTAGATTGTATGGGTATTTCTATTTTGTTACCATTGCCTTCTGAATAAAAATAGAATTATGACTCTTGATAAAATCAAATGTAAAATAAGGAGAATTATTTACAGAATTTTTGCCTCACTTTGCAAGATTAATCCATTTAGTACTATAGAGTTATCTCTCCTGGCCTGCTGAAATACAGAATGCAAACCAAACATTTTTTAAATCCTTCAATTAATATTTATAATATAAAAAAAACCTGCTGATTTTTTTATTATGAACATCTGATATGTATGGCACGCCAAATTCACAAAAATGAGATAAACCTAGTTTCACGATTCAGATTGATAAACTAGGTTTATCGACTGTAAACTATAGTTTACAAACCGTAAACTATAGTTAACGATTCGTTAAGTATAGTTAACGATTCGTTAAGTATAGTTTTCATCTGTAAAACTATATTTAACGGTTGTTAACTATAGTTTACGAATGATAATCTAAGTTTATCTGTCTGTAATAAGCGTTAACAATAGATTTTGTTGTTGATAAACATAGATTCACGTTTGTAAACTATAGTTTACAATCGTAAACTATAGTTAAGAGTTGTTAATCATAGTTTCACAAATCGTGAAACTATATTTATCAGATCGTTAACTATAGTTAACGGTTTGTAAACTATAGTTTACAAATCGTGAAACTGTATTTATCAGATAATCTATGTTTTGCAATCGCAAATGATTGTTTTTAGTGTTAAGTATAGTTTACGGTTGTGAAACATAGATTATCGCGTTAACTATGGTTTAAGGATGTAAAATATGATTAACGTTGTTAACTATAGTTTACAGTCCTTAAACTATAGTTTACAACCGATAAACCTAGTTTATCGACTGTGAAATTATGTTTATCTCATTTTTGTGAATTTGGCGTGCCATAGATATGACACTAAAATCTCAAATAAAGAATATCTTGAAAAATTAGCAGTAGGTAAGGTATGTTGCATATGATCCTAAGTAGTCAAAGAGGGTTTGCCTTAATTATGAGGTTAATTAAACAGAGTTTCTGATATAAAATCTTCGATATTTGCTCTAACATAGACGTCGCGCACAGAATTGGGACTGATTTTGTAACGTCAAAATATCTATTTCTGACGTTGTAACGTACGTCGTCTAAGCGTAAAAACTTTATTAGAACAAACAGATCACCAACACTTCGTAAGAATGCACATGTAAATTTATTTTGGTTTACCGGTTTCGACCAGAGACGGTCGTCATCAGAACAATTATACAAAAATATGGTTTGTTTGCTGGTAGTATCCGGAAAATTGGATTTTTTGTAGTTCTTGGGCGGCTTTCAAACGGGCGCTTCCATTGTTTCGGTTTCTCTGCCATTTCCCTGGGATTGGTGCAGTGCACTACATGTAAGCGTAATTTTAAGCAAGCGAGTAATTTAAAGAGACATAATGAACTCCAACACAACCCATTTGTCACCAGATTTTACTGTGATATTTGCAAGAAATCCTATTGCCGTAAAGATGTTGTACAACGCCACATCGCAAAAGAGCACCCAGAAACGGAATTTAAAGAGTCTTTAATATTTACCTGCACCAATCCCAGGGAAATGGCAGAGAAACCGAAACAATGGAAGCGCCCGTTTGAAAGCCGCCCAAGAACTACAAAAAATCCAATTTTCCGGATACTACCAGCAAACAAACCATATGAACCCACGCAATCAACATCCACTGAAACCATATGTCAAGATGAACTTCCACCAGGATTATGGGACAGATCGATTACAGTTCACGGAATTTATGGACTATTAAATTAATTACCTTAAAAAATATTCCATACAATATATTGTAAATCACACTTAAGTTTCTATTTACGATGTCAAAGTGTTAAAGAAGTTATATAATAATGTAAATCTAATCCGCAGACTGGACATTTCCTCCGCATTTTCATAGCAACGTCATCCGCATAATGTATAAATCTTCCGCATTTCTAAGTGTTTATAGTAACGTCATCCGCATTTTTGACTTCAGTAAGAAATATTTTTGTATAATTGTTCTGATGACGACCGTCTCTGGTCGAAACCGGTAAACCAAAATAAATTTACATGTGCATTCTTACGAAGTGTTGGTGATCTGTTTGTTCTAATAAAGTTTACTACTTTTGATCCAGACCCTATTGAATACCACGTGGTATCCACTCGTAAGAATCTTCCGCAATTTTAACCTTAGGGTGTTGGTCTCCAGCTTTAATTTTGTTTTGTAAGCGTAAAAACGTTAAAAACTAGTGCTAATTGTAACGGGGACCGTTACAGATGTTCCCCAAACGCTCCCCAACTCCCTTTTGGTGCCATATTCCCTGTAAGCCTCATTAAATAAGACTTTTACAACGTTTACCCAGAAGTGTACCAAGTTCGTTTAGATTTTAGCATTGCACCCATGCGCATATGAATGCATCTGCGTAATGACCATATCATCTTGTATACACAATCTATATATTTATTATACTAAATATTAAAGTATTTAATCTAAAAGTATTAAAAAATACGCTCATTCAAGTGCATATTTGATTTTACTCATTTCACGTGCACGCACGTGCATACATGAGCATGTTGACCATACCTTCTTGTAGAAGTCCATTACATCTATCTATGTTCTAAATCCCACCCCGTTTGGTTGAAAACCAAGGGAGCTATAGCTGTTTAAAGTTTCAGCCAATCAGATTGCAGCGCACGTACACGCACTTGTACGCATGTGCATGGTGACCATACTGTTTTGTAGAAGTTCATTGTATCTATCTATGTTCCAGATCCAATCCTGTTTGGTTGAAAACCAAAGGAGTTATATAGCTATTTAAAGTTTAAGCCAATCAGATTGCAGCGCACGTTTTCATGATAATTGCTATATATCATGTTGTAGGATATCCTAATGCATGGCTATGTTCAAAATTTCAAAGGATTTCGTCAAAAAACAAGAGAGATATTGAGACTTTAGTTTCAGCCAATCAGAGCGAAGCGCACGTGCATGCTCGTGAGATCTTGCTACTTTGATCATGTCATCATGTGTATGATACTATTATATATTTATATAATGAGTTTCAAAGCATATAATCAGAAAATAGAAAAGTTACGGCCATATCTATTATATTGGTCATTTTACGTTTTGCACGTGCTCGCTCTTGCAAGCACGTGCGCGCAACATGACCTTGATTCCGCAAATCTACATAACATGTCTACTAACCCTAAAAAGGTTTTACCTACTTCGGGTGAACAGTTTACAAGATCACTCGCGGACAAAAAAGTACCCAGGAAGAAGAAGAAAAATAATAATAAGAAACAGAGTAAAAACAATATGTTCCCCAACTTCGTTTGGGGAACATAATTAAAGGCGTAACAAATAAGACTATACATCCAATTTTTGCTCTCGTTTTCTTAAAAATGTTTAACTTTTCACTATTTCTTTTAATATTAAATTTTATTCATATGCACATTTTAAAAATAAGATTTTATTTGTAATAAGTTTTTCCATTGAAAAAAAAATATTGCTCAAATTAATGATATACCTCCAGTGATATACGAAAATACGCATATTTGTTTCGTAGTAACAAAACCGACTAGACAGCAAATTCACTCTATCAATCTCTCCTCTTACTTGCTTATATTTTTTAAAAGAAATATTTGACTACTTTTTGATTTGCAAATGTCATTTATTCTTTAGTTTTACCAAAAGAACCTGTTATATAATAAAATTAAATTACCAAACATTCAATCTTTTCTTGTTACTTGTCAAGATTACGGCATATTACGGAATGCTTTCAATTTTACGAACAGTCGAAATTAGCCAGTTTTAGAAATTTATTAATGAATTTTGTGGGACATCATCACTGGACATTATAGATGCTTCATACAAATTAATAGAAAAATCCATCCAGTCAAAAAGATAAAATGACTAAAAATACTAACACCCGTCCTTTACTATGTTACAAGTTAAGCAATTTAGAACCTCAATACCATGCGCGACGCAATAGTATTTAAAATAATATAGCAATTTAATCTTGCAGGCTAAATATGTGCAAATCTTACCGTCCGATCTTTGGATTTGAATATGAATATAGATTATACATGTAGAAAGTATTTTAAAAGTCGTCAAAAGTTAAAATAAAATAAGATAAACTGTAGCTGTAAAGAATTATAAATATATCTGTAAATCTTATTATATAAATACATCTTCAGAGTATACATAGTAGTAATTGAATTCCTGATTGAACTTTGGCTAGTATGGATACTTCAATCAATGGGGGAGAAAAAAGAGGGGGGATTAATGTTAAGTAAACAGGATGTGTTTGCTCTTTTTGAAAAGGAGGGTATCTAAAAATTCAACAATGTATGGCTAAAAAAGTGTCTTTTTTTCTGGTATCGCCGTATCAGGGCACAGTGACGGATCCAGGAATCTTGAAAAGGAGGGGTCCGACCAGTTTAGGATCAGGGTAAGGGCCCACAGCCACGACATAAAATTTGATGTATTAAATCTTAGGTATATTTTGGACACAAAGGGGAGGGGTGGGCTCTCTAGCCCCGCCCCCCTCTAAACCCGTCAGTGGGGCAAACACGCGCAATATGTCGACGCATTTAAAGGGGAAATACTAACATGAAAAAGAAAACTGAGTTATGCCGCTTTTCATACATAATTAATATATTCGAGCCAATATACTAGTATTTCTTTTTGAATAAAGGTATTTTGATCATGTTTATGAAATAAAACTTTTTGTAAAAATATATAGAATATTAACGCTATATTTAAAATTGAGTACATATAATAAATATAAAAGTAAAAAAAAGTAAGGATTTATTTAGCCTGGGATTAATTGACTGACAAGAAAAAAAAGTTAACATATGGCCCCGCATTAGCTGCACAAATCTGTAGCTCTCTGGTTGAAAAAAAAACAGATAAACAAACCAGAGTTTGGTTTGTCAACCAGAGAGCTACAGACCTGCAGCTAACCCCACATAAAGATCTGCCACTTTTTGGCCTGAGAAACTTGCAACTAATTTTTCTGCTTGAATGGAACACATGAATGTTAAAAGAAATATATTTAAATCTCGGTCTACTTCAAAACATTTTTAAAGCTATATTTAGCTGCATAGAACACCAGACAAAGTTCTTCAGTCACAATGAATATTGTACTTCTCAGGTGGCTATATCATCATATTGACCTCGAAAACAGCAATAATTGTATAAAACTGAAAATGTGTTGCGACCAGTATTATATATATCTATCTGCTCCTGGCCACAAATCAAGACACACACACACAAGTTTGTGATTTTATATTTTTATTACATTATCATCATCATCTTCATGATAATCGTCAGTATCATCAAATGATCCACACATTTTACATCGTGTTAAGAATCACAGACCAGCTGATTTACCTTGGCACATGGATGGAAAAATACTCACACATAAAAAATATAACAGCTCACATTCCCAAATAAATTAACTGTATACATTCTCACACAAATAAAATGTCATCAATACAAAATAAAGACACTGGAATCTTAATATTGGTACGAATCATACAACAGGCTTAAACATCGTCATGGATGTTAGTACATGTAAATATAGTCACATATAAATATACTCCAGCAAAAATCGGAGATAAGTTTACGAAGGCATCTCTACGAATTTATCAATGTCTGTATCAGATAAATTCTGACGGCAGTGGATACAAGATACATTCGTTATCATGTAATCAAAAAATGGTTTTTACAATGACCTATTTTGCAATAATAAAGAATTATTTTAATCTGACAACATTTTGATACACGATATCTTCACAATATGATACAACATTGGCTCATGATGAAAATTCACAACTATGGAAAAGCACCTTATATTACACAAGATGAGCTATATTGCACATATTTTATACCTCATACAAGTAATATTCAATCTCAAATGCTGACATTTTTCATGAAAACAAGATGCAGAGAATTAACAAAAAAGAATTAATATGAAAATGAAACCAAAAAAATGATATAATACTCTCACCAAAATTAAAACATTTGGGTGACTCAGATTAATACACTGTATTAAAAGCTTTAACAAATTTCAGATCTTCATGTTCTCGCATTAAAAAAAAAATGCAACTTCAAGATCATTGCAAAAATGCTGCTAAAAACTTTGCCTTCCAGGGTTTTAAACTAACTTGTAATCTTTGATCGCCATGTGGGCTACTAAACCTTGCAATTCTGGGGCCCACATCAAAAATCGCCCACAAATTATCACACCTTCTGTTGAATAAATATACAACAAATTTTTCGTTATTTTGTTTTTATCAAACTCGTGTTCCGTAGAACATTGTGCATGACTTATCTTAATTTCAAATTGTCCTCTTTTGTTTAAAAAGATTGAAATGGTTATTAAACGTCATATATTCAAGCACATGGCAGATTTTTTCACAGACACAACCAAGATATGTCCTGTCAATGCCACATAGGTCGTCACAATCACTCAGACGCTTTATGTTTAAGTACTTCTCACTGGTAAATATAAAGCACTTTACTAATTACGAAAATTTCAAGAGAAAAAAACGGAACATTCGGACAAAATTGAAAAACAAATATTTATCAACGTAAATTTTCTAATCGCCAATATACGTAATTTTTCATTGTTTTGCATTATCAAAAATCGAAAATATGCAAAAAAAACAGCAAAAGTTCAGAACATTAAAATTGCGAAAGGTTCAATTACAAGACTTGAATGTCCTGTACTAAATTCCACCCACCCTACTGTATTAAAACACAGCTTTCAATCCTAATATAGTTCATTGTTCCTTGTTGTATCCTGCATAGTTTTTCAGATCTTGCAGAGGGAGGTAATTTCACTCATCCATTACTGAGGTTTTTTATGTGGAGGGAGGCAATTAAACTTGCCATATTTTCTCTGAGTCATCCTCTGAAGATGTATTAGAATCTTTACTCTGAAGAAGAAAAAAACGAAACATAAAAATCAGACATGCCATTACGTAACAGGGCTGTTATCCGACCGACCATTTACTTCATTTATTCACTTTTTCAATCAGCGTTAATGTGAAGATAAGAAAAAGTGACAATTACAGGAGAGAAATTTATGGTTCTCAGACTGACGAGACTTAAATGCTTACCTCTGTTGTTAAATGCTGGATGTTGGAGGCCAAGTCTTCGTCTAGAGAGAAAGCTCGACTAGTTTCTAAAGTGCTTGAGCTACCTAAAATGAAAAAAATTAATGTTTATTCAATTTTTGTCTCAAAATTTGTGTCATGCAATAAAATTTGATGCAAGTCAAACACACTTATTTCTTTCTGTCGTGTGTTATGTGATGACCTTTTGACCTACTGACCTGATTTGACATGACGGATGGTGGGTAGGGTTCCTTTACGGGTCAGTGAACACGTGGTGTGGTGGTAAGGACGGGGGGACAGGAGGGAGGATGAGGCCCCAGACAGGGTGTGTACACTGCTGCTGCGTGTCATCGGACCAGATCTCTGGAACACCCGAATCATCGCATCCTTCTCCGCTAGCTCTGTCTGTAAGCTTTTGACCCTAAAAAATTAAATATAAACTTTAAAACTAAAATGTCAAGTTTTTTAAAACTGTTTTCTATATTTTACCCTCAAAACAATTAAAAATACAAACTTTAATACTAAAATGTCAAAATGATTTTTTTTTCCTTTCAATTGTTCTCTTCTACTTTTTATTAATTTCCTAAAATTTTCTACACTGTTTACTTTATAACTTACTTTGCTTCCAGCTCCTCCACTTGCTGTCTGGCGTTTATCACCTCCTCCAGTTGTGTCAACTTCTCAATCTTCTCATCCGTTAAATTCTCAGAGTCTAACAAATCAACAGAGAGTCCGTTCTGAACAGAGAATTGTCTTAAGGCACTCTCCTCCAAATATTTCTGCTGCCACTTAATCACTTCCGTTTCCAGTTTCAGAATCTTTGATTCCTTCTCGTTGAGAAGTGTCTGTAATGAGTGAAGATTTGTGACCTCCGCCTGTGACGCGGTGCTGTCAGATTTAGACACGGAACCACCGTCTTTTTGTTTGGATTTCAGACTTGCCACCTCCTTTTCTAATTGAGTCCGCATTTGTTTTTCGAATTGTTCACGTTTTTCACACGCAGCTTTTAAACAGGAGAAGGATTTCTGGAGTTTCTCTAGTCTCTCCATTTGAACCTGCTTCTTACAACACTGCAAAGGAAAGGGAGATAACTCTCTTACTTCACTATTTGATTTGCGTATCATGCAATTTTTTTTATTCAACTTTACATACCGGTACATTAAATATAATCTTTATCTTTATTACAAAACCTTGTAATGAATTCAATTAGCTGAATGGTTAATTACCTCATCTTCTAGCCTGACTACGTTGCCCTGAGCGTTGGTCAGTGCGTTGTCCAGTATGTCCATCTTAGACTGCTGTTCCTGTAGAGATGTCCGCAGCGAAGCCACGTCCAGTTCTAATCTCTCCTTAGTGGACAGCAACTCCTTGTCTGAAATTGAAACATAATTTATACAAACTCTTTATGATTAATATATACAATTGCTCTTTAAAATCCAATTCCTCAATTTTTCCACATTGTGACTTTGACAATTCTTAAAATTTTTAAAAACAAATAATTGACTGGTATTTCATGTTCTGATTGCAATAATAAATCTGTACAGGGAGGTAACTCACTCTGTGCCACTAAAGCAGCAAACTTTCGACTTCTCTCAGAATCTGAGACTAGTTCTCCATCCTCTACACATTCTGCAGTGGAGCGGTCAACTTGTTCTGAAAAAAAAAGTAATATGACCTGATTAGTTTTTAATTTATTACAGGTATTGCAATTAAATATGACCCTAATATTATAAAGTCCTATGTAGATTTCATCAGAGAATATTTTTGTAAATAAATATGACATTCTTCAATGTAAACAATGCAAATTTTCATAGTTAATGAGAATAAAATAATCATGGGAAAGTGTCATGCTAATGCAAATGACAATAACACACATGTTTTTATTTTTAAACACAGCTCATGAAAATTTCATAAATTACAATTTGTTCTCCCACACGATTTTTTAAAATAATTTATACAATTCAAAAGACATTTATGAATCATATTTTGTGCTTTTGTATTCTTGACTGTAAACAGTCTCAACAATGCTCAAAGGAATGTTGGCCATTATATGAACAGGCAGATAAAATTTCACGCCAATACAATGGTTTGGGTTTGGGCCAATAGACATAGGAGATTAAGAGAGATTTCTGAGCTGATAATCGCATGCTTAAAGCCCTGGCTAACTGACAAAAGCCTTAATCCTGACTGAATACAGAGTGCGCAATTACACCCCAAAACTTGACAACAAGCCATATCAATTGTAAATATTTCACCACTCCATATCTTTTGTTTATAGATAATTGTCATTTTAAAAATATAGTTCTGGCCTTTATATCATTCACAGATAGGAAGTCAGGGTGCTTCTTCTTTGAAGTGGGTCTCAGTTATAATTAAATCTAAAATGCATTTACGCTGAGCAAGCATGCAGTATGGGCATGTTGCAATAGATTTTTTTTACTTTTTTACAAATATTGGAAATCTGCCACAGTAGTTCAATAGATAGCCATATCCAGCTTAACACAGTACATCACTCTAGAGTAACTGAGTACACCATATTTTCTAGCACTGCTGAGCATAACATTTTTCTAGCATAAATGAGTACACCATATCTAGGAGAACTGAGGATACCAGATCAAGCAAAACTGAGTACACCATTATGCTAGAACTGAGTAACCATATCTAGCAGAACCGAGTACACCAAAATTCTTACAAAACTGAGTTCACCATAATTCTTATAATAAGCAAACTGAATACACCATAAATCTAGCAGAACTGAGTATACCATAATTCTAGTAGAACAGAGTACACCCTATCTAGTAGAACATACTATACCCTATCTAGTAGAACATAGTATACCCTATCTAACAGAACTGAGTACACCCTATCTAGTAGAACATACTATACCCTATCTAGTAGAACATAGTATACCCTATCTAACAGAACTGAGTACACCCTATCTAGCGTAACTGAGTATAACTGAGTACACCCTGTTTAAGACTGTACCTTGTAACTGTTTGTTTGTGGCCTGAAGCTTTGTCAGCTCCTCCTTCAGTTTCTTCTTCATGATGGCCTCTAACTTCTCCCGCTTTTGTGAGGATTTCACCAGAGATTCATATGCCTCATGCACTTTCTGAATTTCAAATTCAAACTTTTGCAGTCTAGAGACTTTTCTGTTATAAACAGTGAGTTCATCTCTGAGTTTTCTGTTTTCCTCTGTTAACATGTCAATCATTTTATTGGCCCGAGCAGTCAGGGGGTCTATTTCCTCATATCGAATGGAAGATGTTGGTGTACTGCAAAAAAAAAATATTTAATAAAAATTTTACTTAATGCCTCTCTCCTGTTTTTAGCATATCTCTTAATTCGGTGAAGTAAATATTTTTGTTTATATGCATTTTCCCTGCATGTGCTTAAGTTGTTTTCCAGAAGCAATCCCATCCCAATCCATTTTCCCATATGCTATTACACAGATTACATAAAGCTTACAAGACATACATAACAAAATTATCATTTCTAAGATAAAAAATGTGGTTTAAATTAAGGAAATCTACAATCCACCCCAGATTTTGGTACAAACCTTTGATCCTCCCTCTGTATGTGCTCCTGTTCCATCATTTTACTGTGGGCCTCCCAGTAGCGAGTCAGGTCCGGCTGTGACTTACAGACAGACATATCAGCAGGGTCACTACGCTCCATGGTCTCGTAGGACCGTCGTAAGTGTTCGTTTTTTTCGACACTGAAACCCGGATATTCCGGGGGAGGAGGGAGTTGTGTGAAGTACGGGTTCTGTAGCTGCTCCACGGCCCACTGTTGTCCATTGGTGGACGTTAACTGATCCGTTGTTTTTGTCATGGAAACACAAGAATTTGACACTTGGTGTGGATGCCATGAAAAAGAAGACCCACAACACGGATTGTTTAAATATCCATAATTATCCGTCGGATGTGGCACACAGTGTCCAGCCATTTGATAATACGGCTGTGAAACGGTGGATGTTTTCATTTCTAAAGCTGTCGTGGGCATGCCCAGACGAGCAAGGATACTGTACCCAGCATCACTGCTGGAGTAGTCTAAATGTGAGGGGTAACCAGTGGTAGACTGGTTTTCTTCCCCCTGGGGTTCTTGTCTCATGCACGTGGATAAATTTTCTGTGGAGGACACAGAGACATCTGTGCTTGTCTCACTTCCCGAAAAACTCTGTCTTAAACCTGTGGAGAAAATGGGGGAGAAAAATCTTAAATAAAATACTGCTATCTGCTGTGCATGCATAAAGATAAAGTACATATTCTTCCAAACAAAATTTTTACCTTTTTTTGAAACAGAAATCCATTTTTTTCTCCTTAAATTATCATAATACAAACATTTATATGTCATCATGGTGAGAGAGCGAAGAGAATTAAAGAGACAATGGATCATTAAAAGTACTGTAAAATCGTGTGAAATAAAAGCAGTTACCTGGTGTATTTTGCAGCTGTTTGGAGTGCCCCGGGTAGGGGGGTGGTTCTCGGTACTGTTGCTGGGACATGGTCATGCCCTCAGGGTCAGTCACCACTAAATACTCGTCACTGGAAAACTGCCCTCCGTTCATAAGATCTGTCAAAAGAAAACTGAGGTATCACAACTCTAGCTCGGAACATCTCATCAACAATTCAAATTCCAGCCCTGAAGCAATCCCCGACAAGCATTCCTAGCTATTTTACAATTACAACGTACAAAAAATATAATTTACTGTGAATTATCTCCTATTAAAATTTCCATGTTTTTCTCAGGAGGATCGCAAGGGGTATATAGAGAGAAGGCATATCACAAGTGCCAAGGAAATGACTAATACACACACAGTGGGATAATATAACCCACATTCCTTGCAGGTTTAGCTTTGTCTGTGTGTCATAAACAAAGGCCGTTCACTCCACAGTAAACACACAGGTAGAGGAATATTTCACTGATAAAACAACCCTTATCAATACAAACACATCACTGTGTTAGAAAAAAACCTCATCAAATGCATAGTCCCTTACTTAACATTGCTGCTATCCTCAACTCCTAATTTTTTAAATCCCTATGCTTCTTCACTGCTCTCATGCCAATAACACACTGAATAATATTTGATAATATGGCCTCTCTCAGCTACAAGTGCATTGTGGGATTGCCAAAATACCAAACGTTGAGGTATTGAGCAAAAGCAGTGTAGCGAGAAAATTATTCCACATTGGAATGCCGTACATTTCCTGGCTGTAAGCTTCAGTGGGCCCGCGTGTGTACAAAAATACCCTCAGGATGAAACCGTTGCATATTTGTAATGGCTAAACATAATTAAAACAGGAGTATAGAAATATGTCATGCCCTCAGTAATAAATTCTAGTTAGTATGCAAATCAATAGTATTTAAACACTCCCATCCCAACAAAACAAATCTAAAGGCAATATGTTGATTTCATTAATTATAGTTTTCATATTGATTTGAAATATCAACCCAAAGTAAATCTCAAATGGTCTGGTCTACCCTTAATTTCTTTTCCTTAAATTTAAATATACATTAATTTAATTAACAGTATAGTATGGTATAGTATGGTAATGAATTAATTTTTAATTGCACACAATAATACTACATGTACTGGTTATATATAAAAGTTTTTAAGTCATGGCAAATTCTATAAAATAAATACTTGTATAAATCATATCTGTCAGTATATTATATTTCCATTTCACTCATTTATAAAAAGGTTAAAAATGAAATTCAAAACATTTAAAAAGTTTAATTATAAAGAAATATTAATGTTCAGAAATTAGATTTTATTCAAGAAACTATAAAAGCTCAGAATAGAAAATTCTGGCCACATCATGTGACATTCTTTAATAAATCAAGCTTTTTGCCTAGAACTCCCTTCATAAATATTTATTTAATTAATTATCACACTAATCAGATTCTTTACTTCTGCTAAGATATTTGTGGTTTTGTATTATCAATCAAAAAACTTAGCATAACAAAGACTTTTTATGTAAAATTCTCCCCAATTTCTGCTCAACTGTCATTAATTCCAATCAACAACATTCTTTAATCCCTGGCATGAATGAATATGCTAATGAACCAAATATTTATTAATTTCTGTGACCATTTCAATCAATTTTTTTTGTCTGTTTGATAAGACATTCAATTTTTTTTTCATTTAAAAATTATTCTATCAATGAATTTAAAAAAAAAAGAATCTTTTTTTCTTATTTATTGTTATAAATTTCATTTTCATTTCTTTTTTTCTTTTTAATCATTTACTCCATTCTAAGAATTTTTTTTTTTCATGAAATGATTTGTGGAAAAATTCAAACCAATTTAATTTCTCCTTTTAAATTTAAGATTCTAATTAAAAAACATTCCTAGCTAATATTTCATAAGTAGCTAAAGGGTTCAAAATTTTCTGTACATGCCCTTCAAACCACTTAACATGAAACAATTTATTGATCAGCTATTAGTTTTTAATCAGCTTAAATGTTAAACCTAATTAAATTTCCAGTATTTTACTAGTCCATATACCTTGGATCATATTTAGATTAGCATAGGTCGGGGAATCCGTCAATCCATCTCGGCTCTCAGTAAACATGATAAAATCCGCAAGTTTTCATAAAAAATTTAAAAATCTGTGTTTTTTTTAAATCACATCCCAGGTTAATGTTCGATGAACGCTTTCTATAATCTTGCAAAAAAAAATTTTCTTATATATCATCCACAATGATGTCAGTAATCCTTAGGAAAGTCGCAATTATAATTTTTTTATCCCCTTTTTCCTTTTATTCACTATAACAGATCTCTTCCTCTCTTTTCAATTCGGTAGACACTCAGTGGGTTGTTGACACAAATTAATAAGACGGTTCTTGTAACACTGATATTGTTAATTATTTCAAGTACCGGTACACGTGTTGAAGAATTCCAAAAATTGTCGCACTGTGTTAATGTCCTCTTTTTTTAAATGGATCGCTGGGAGCCGAATTATTTCAGTCATCAGCAGGAGACAATGTATTAATCTAAATGATGTGGCCGCGGAGATGTACTTTTATAAAACTTCATCTAATTAGCACATCCTTGAGAGGAGGAAGAAATTCACAAGATGTTGTCACATAAAAGCAAGAAGCCCTTTATACCGGCATTTTTTTTTCTCTCAATAAAAACACCTCCAAACAGCTATTTTTCCAGAGAGCACTGCCTCTAAGGCCAGAAAATTTTTTTCGGCAGCTGAGCTGATTAGGTGAAATAGACAATTTGCATTCCTGAGTGATAATTCCCCACCGACAAATTGATTACCCCTTAGATATCTAGAGATATCAGGCGAATAGTTTACATAGTTATACAACTATCCTCGGCATATAAACTCTTCCACTGAGAAATGTTAATCTTAAAATTCCTTAATTCCTCCTCACACAAATCCCTTAATGTCCAACGAATTAAAAACCAAGAGTGAACAACAAATTAAAAAATGTTTTCCTCCGATCTTCCAAAAGAATTATAAACTTTTAAAAAATTGTAAGCATTTTTGGGGGGTGAAAAAAAAGTTTGCGCACGTCGTCCTGTAAGTTATTAGCCTGGTCACGTTTTGATGTTATATGTACATGTATCAATGGAACCCATAGATAATGGTGCTCTACATCCATTCAAGCTTGACAATTTTTGTATGGGCATGCCTCAGTGGACAGCAGTATGCCGTGAATGTAAACATATCACCCTTGTACAATTTTTTTTCTTTTTTTAAATGGAATGGAATGTCTGAAATTTGGCACCTGGCTTTGAGGTCGTCTAGACACACTTTTATCAATAGAGGACCCTCCATCCATGAATTATGTAGTAGGGAAACTATTTAATAAGAAAGAAATAAACACAAAGAAGGCCCCTCTTTGATTTTATATACTGAGAATTTTTATTCTCTTGGTGAAAATAAATTTGATTTAAAGATAGTTTTTAAAGAGGAAAAAAGAATTGGAGTTTTCTCTATCTTCTTCATTATTATCTATCTATATTTTATAAATTTATATGAATTTTTTTATTTGCTCTCCTGTTTTAAGTATTTTTCTCTAAATAAACAACATTTTTCTGTCTTCTAAATATTCATTTTTTCATACTTGTAAAATTTCCTGATGAAAAAAAATTATCTTTAAATTACTGTCAACTTTTTCTATATATAATACATGGACATATGTATCCCGATATGTTTCAATTGCTTATAAAATCTTTTTATGCATTGAAATAAACGAATTATTTCTTTGCAAATAAAAATAATTTATTCAAAATAGTTGTTTATATGTTGTGAAACAAAAATATTTTACTCAAAATGTGTTAATTATTATTTATTTCATATCTATATTTATATTTAACTTATTTATGTTATATATTAAACCCCAAATGTTAAATAAACAAGGAAAAATAAAAGTCAGATTTTCATGGGCGATATTTCGATATTTCTTCATTTGTATCGATATGCACATCATCCTCACATGTATCACGATATATCGATAATAATATATATATATCTGTTCAATTTATATCTAAGGGATCATAATTTGGCCCCTCCCCCCAAATCTACCATACATACATGTATATTGATACAAGTAAATTTATATATAGAAATTCTTTATATCATACATCCATTAAGAAAAGAATAAAACATCTTTTTTTCTTTTGTTAATAACATATGGAATGTGTGATAAAGGTCACCTACAGTGTATGAGCTCTGACAGCAGGGATAATTTGCCACAAGTAAGATTTGATAAGTCGGCCAGCAGGGTTTGACACCTTTAAGGTGAATGGTAGAGCAGATTTATGTAATGTGTGAGATATGGTGGGCAGCTGCCCTCTAACATTCCACAGACACTGTATGGCTTACCACAAATCTGATAGGGAGGAAGTCTTCACCAGAAAGAGATTCCATCTCCAGGGATTACACAGAATCATCATGTAGGATAAACCACAAAATAGCTGTCCTCTAACTGTTAATATACCAGGTACATAACTGAGAAAATTTGTATCATTTCATCTATACAGCCCCCTCCCCTCAAAATGTAATTTAGATCATACAGTCAAGGAAAAGGGGCTTTCTGCTAAAACTTTATTCCCTTAATAATATACAAATGTACAAATGTCAAAGTCACATCTTTATTTAAAACAAAAGGATTTTTTTCCCTCCTAAATAGCCATTTCTAAACTAAATAATGTTGATATTGAACACCACAATATTCACCAATGGATAAGTATTATTTTACCCTTAAAACACAACAAAAACTTAATGTAAATCCAATATTTCTTCTTTTTATTTTTAATCAAATACATATACACCCAACCCCCCTCTTTTACAATTCATTCCACTATAAGTCTATCACAGTCGCTGGTTGCCATATAAATGTTATAAAGGAATGCTCCCTATGTGTGTTGTCAGAGACAAAAGTCAGATAGAGCGATAAATCACCATTAATACCTACAAATATTTATTGCTAAACCCTCGCTTGATGTTTCTAATTATTATCTACTTTGTACAACATAGGCCTCTGGCCACTTGTTGTCTCTCTTGTTTGTTATTACCCATCATACTATAGGTACTTGTACATTCCATCATTCAGGATTGTTTACAAACTTATATATTTTGACAATAATTACACATCTATAAAATTACTTGTAATTTTATACCCATTCCTTGACAAAAACATCTGAGTATAAATATTTAGGAATATATTTGTGAAGTAAGACTTGTATACTGAGTGTTAAGTCCAGAAGTGACTGAATTTTTTTTTTACACTTGCTCTACTTTGACCTGGGTCGTCTTACCAACCTCTCATTTGGACCTGGGTCACCAGTATGGCCCTCTCAGGAAAAGACCTGGCCCACCATGGCCCTCTCTGTTATTGGATCAGGCCCACCATGATCTTCTCTGTATTTAGACCTTAGCCACCATGAACCTCTCTGTATTTAGATCTGAGCCATCATGAACCTCTCTGTATTTAGATCTGAGCCACCATGAACCTCTCTGTATTTAGATCTGAGCCACCATGAACCTCTCTGTATTTAGATCTTAGAGAACCTCTCTTTATTTAGCCTTTCTGTATTTAGATCTGAGCTACTATGAACCTCTTTGTATTTAGACCTTAGCCATCATGAACCTCTCTGTATTTAGATCTGAGCTACTATGAACCTCTCTGTATTTAGACCTTAGCCATCATGAACCTCTCTGTATTTAGATCTGAGCTACTATGAACCTCTCTGTATTTAGACCTTAGACACCATGAACCTCTCTGTATTTAGACCTTAGCCATCATGAACCTCTCTGTATTTAGATCTGAGCCATCATGAACCTCTCTGTATTTAGATCTGAGCCACCATGAACCTCTCTGTATTTAGCCCTTAGCCATCATGAACCTCTCTGTATTTAGACCTTAGCCATCATGAACCTCTCTGTACTGTATTTAGATCTGAGCTACTATGAACCTCTCTGTATTTAGACCTTAGACACCATGAACCTCTCTGTATTTAGACCTTAGCCATCATGAACCTCTGTATTTAGATCTGAGCCACCATGAACCTCTCTGTATTTAGACCTTAGCCATCATGAAGCTCTCTGTATTTAGATCTGAGCCACCATAAACCTCTCTGTATTTAGACCTGAGCCATCATGGCCCTCTCTGTATTTAGACCTGAGCCATCATGGCCCTCTCTGTATTTAGACCTTAGCCACCATGGCCCTCTCTGTATTTAGACCTGAGCCATCATGGCCCTTTCTGTATTTAGACCTTAGCCACCATGAACTTCTCTGTATTTAGACCTTAGCCACCATGAACCTCTGTATTTAGATCTGAGCCATCATGAACCTCTCTGTATTTAGACCTTAGCCACCATGAACCTCTCTGTATTTAGACCTTAGCCACCATGAACCTCTGTATTTAGATCTGAGCCATCATGAACCTCTCTGTATTTAGACCTTAGCCACCATGGACCTCTTTGTATTTAGATCTGAGCCATCATGAACCTTTCTGTATTTAGACCTTAGCCACCATGAACCTCTCTGTATTTAGACCTTAGCCACCATGAACCTCTCCGATTTAGACCTTAGCCACCATGGACCTCTTTGTGTTTAGATCTGAACCATTATGAACCTCTCTGTATTTAGACCTGAGCCATCATGAACCACTCTGTATTTAGACCTTGGTTACCTTTCTTAACTCTCACTTGACCCACACGTCAACTCTTCTGGCTCTCCTTTGACCCAAGACACCCATTCAAGCTTTTCTCTGACCAAGACCACATTCATTGGCTCTTCCTTGGTCCAGACCTTTTTCCTTGGTTTCTCTTTGACTTGGGTCACCTCTTTTGACCTTTTTCCTTGGTTTCTCTTTGACCTGGGTCACCTCTTTTGACCTTTTTCCTTGGTTTCTCTTTGACCTGGGTCACCTCTTCTGACCTTAGCAACCTATCCTAGCTCTGACTGGACACATTTTTGTACTACAGGTGTATATAAAATGTTCATTGGTTTCTTTTTTTAATTTCAATTTGTATCTCTATTAAATCTGCAAGACATTGACCAACCAACCAAAATCTAAAGAAGAGTAAAATATCTATAAATGTATCGATATAACTGGGAAATGACAGGACAGTTAAACAAACATCTTGTACTGTAATGAGATAATATGACAGCTTTTGATGTAAATTAACTTCTTTGATCTTTTGATCAGGCTCATCCCTGATCATAATTAACTCATTTACATCTAACCCTTGTACTTGAAATATGGATGTCAAGTATATACCTTTTTTTTCTGTGAGAATGAGAGGGAAAAAGAAACAACTCTGATTTAATCACTTGGTGCATGTACCTATCTTTGTAGGGTAACATTTAGAGCAAGGTAAGCCTACAGCGTAACAATCTCAGGAATGTACATGTTACCTTTGTAGACCAGGTTCACCATTGCACCAAGACACACCTAGCCACAAAAAACCCAATCTTAAAAGATCTGACGACCCATTCCAACCCCTGATGTACAAAGACGTGGAATCATAAAAGAGAAGAAGTGAAAGAAATGAAATGACATGGAGGGCAGGAAAATTAGAGCCTTATACTGCACATTCTTAGTATTATACATGCAAAATAAGATGCAGAATTTGGTCCTATGTATACAATTACTTCCTTTGCGACTTAGAAAATCACTGCACCCAGAGAGAGAGAGAGAGAGAGAGAGAGAGAGAGATGGGAATGCTTTTGTATGAGTATTTACCATAATACCTAACCATAATATTACAAGGATTCCAAAGGAATTTCTAAGCAGGAAATGGGATTAAGTTTCAGAGAAGTATATTGTTAAAAAGTTCCCAAGGATTTTAACCAGTAGAATGCACAAGTGCCTATAGTCCTGCATGTCTTCTTCAAGAGAGTAAATGGATGATCGAGGTATAACTGTAACAATACAAAAATGTTCAGTCATTCAGGGTGGGGCTTAGATTACAGGGGTATGAAAAAAATGTTGTAACTTAATAAAGACAAAAATTAAGGTACATGTACATGTTA